TAATGTTTTAATGACGAGCTTATATTTTTTAAAAATAATTCTGAAAAAAAAATTCTTTTAAAAGTTATTGTGTTTCAATATTTTTTAAATATTAGCACTCATTGTACTTTGGCTGCCTTATATATGGAATTATATGGAATATGGTTATTGGGATATTGTTAGATGGAATATGGTTATGGAATATGTTATATGGATATCTTTGAAGGTCAAATGAACCCAATTGCAAGTTTCTCATACTTTTTACTTGAAATATAGTAAAGTATTTATTTCAAACTGTTTAATTATAAAAAGTGTAAAATAATCAAGTACTGCTAATTTAGCAAAAAATGAATAATTCAGAACTTTAGCGAACAAAAGAAAGTATATCAAAACTCAAATTAGAATTACCTTATTTGAGTACAATTTTTATTCAATTTTTAAGGCAAACTTGAAGATTATATGTTTTAGATAAAATCGATGTTTTGATAAAATAAGAAAAAATTTTCTGAAATTGAATTTAAAAAGTAATATTGAAATTTCCACTTAATTTCTGAATATCCCCTTTAACAACTTAAAGTTTTATTTCTCTCCAAAAATTACTTTCATTATGACTAACACGGAGATAATAAATTAATAAATTACTTAAATAAATTTAAAACAACTGAGTTAATTAAATAACTTTAATTTATACTCCTTTTTAGTTTACTTTAAATATAGTTTTGAATTCTATTTATTCAAAATAATTTTATTTATCTTGGAAAATCATTATTTAAATATTTTCTTTTTGAGTCATTTTAAAAATATTATTTAACTTCCGATTTTAATCCAAGGAAATAAACAATTTAATTTCTTTCGCCTTTAAAAATACATCCAAATAATATATCACGCTACAAAGTCAATTGAAGTTTTCAAAAATAATTTTTTACATTCCATTTCGTCTTCTTCATATACATTTTAAACATAAAATGACTTCGGGTGACGAAAAAACTGTGGATATAAAATCACTTTTGTGTAAAACATCGTTTCAATATTTTCCAAAGATTTATGTGCCCATCAAGCTTTTAAATGTTTACAAAGCATTTATACTTTATAGCAATTAATGTTTTAATCATAAACACCCTCATAACTTATTTAAAACCTGTTAATATTCGAGTAGTACCTCATTCTATTCTCAAATAACCATAACGATTAAAGTGCTTTTTAAAAGCTTCTGGAGTAAAGTACCTGCGATTACTCTCCAATGCAAATAGTGATACAAGTTCATGGGCTATAACGTAACACATAAGTACCTATAAATTAAAAAAGACCGTGTTAAATATAGAGTCAGAGGGATTATAATGTCGCTCTTAACCTAACAGTGAGTTTTGTGGCTTTGATTTACTCATGTGAAGCAAATGGATGCAATAAATGTGTTTTTATTTTTAGATTTCGGTTACTGGTATTGAGAGTACTATAATAATTTCTAATGTGGGCTTTTTACTATGCTTTACAATAAAAGAAAGTTATGATGATTTGTTATGGTTTGTTTTCGGATATTTTAAATAATGCTTTAAATAGTTTTGCTTTTTTTATGAACAATTTATTTAGCATTTTTACAACATATTACATTTTAGATCACATAAAAATTAACATTTGAGGAAAAGTACTTTAATTATTGAATTTTTTTATGATTTCGACTTTTCAAACATTGCTTGTGAAAAGAATAACAGGTGTAAAAATTGCAAAAAAATTTGACTTATTCAGAGGTCTGAAAAGTTTTTCCAGTTTTCAGGGAAAATTAAAAAATTTTTTTTTTCTAAAAGGATATTTGAAATCTCACAGATTTAGTTTACCAATGAAAAGAAAAGAATATATATCCTTTCTGTGTTCGTAGCAACTGCTTTACTCTTCCGATTTTTTCACAATAATTTCTTTATTAAAGAATGTTTTTTGAATATTTTCACTCAGTTTAGTTTAAATTGGAATGGTCTTTCGAATATCATCGAAAAAACTCTCCCCTTTCTTTCAATTTAAATTCCTTTTAGAAATATAACCATAAATTATTTACTTATTTTTGAAAATTTTTAGTAGTTTTGGCCTTAAAATTTTACAAGTAAAAATAATGAAAAATATTTAAAAAAAAAAAGGTTTGAAACTTTTACAATAGCATATCTGATAGTTAAATAAATTTAATTTCTTGGTTCTCTTTAAGTTACATAACTGATATTTAGCATTTTATTGTTTTTAGACGGACACTTTATGTAATAAGTTAATAACTAAATGTTTGGTTCAAATTCATGCTATGAACAAAACATCTAAGCAAAGAAACACATTTGGCAAATAAACAGATTGATTTTTAGTTAGACTTTAATGACGTTGAACTAACGTATTTGTTGTACGTTGGGAGGCACTTGTTGTTCGATTTATGAGTTTCACTTAAATTTTATAAGAATAAATAAATGTAACGAAATAAGGTAATTGTCATAGGCTGCCATAAAAAATTATACTACATCTTTACACACGGATCTTTAATAATAATTGTTTTTAAAATTAGATTTAATTTCTTTAAATGTTTAATTTAATTTCTTGAAAATTTTTATTAATCTGTTTGGACTTACTGATATGATGGTGCAAGCAAAAATTATAGTTTTAAATATAATTGCATAGTTGTTAGGGATATTTCTCACTGATTAATTTTGATACTAAGCACAAAGTAGAAATAAAAAAAAAATCTATGATACTTCTAAAATCAATTTCATATATAAAGTGATACTCTACTTTTTCATGATACTTTATATATTTTAGAATGATACTTGAAGTAATTAAAACAAAATTTTAAGGTATATTCTTTATTTTAATTTCTCATCAGAAAAAATAAATAAAAAGAAAACTAATTTCAACAAGTCACTGGATAGTGTTAAAAGTTCATAAAATTATTAGATTTTATTGGTATATGAGATGAAAAAACTGAATAATAATTATTGTTCAAGTTTAATACAATCTTAGAAAGGTTTGAAAGACATAGATTAATTTTTTGACAGTAGTTAGCCAAATAATCTGGCTCTTTGTCATCGTGATGTTGCAGTGCTCCAGACTAATTAAAGAAGTCTTTTTATCTGTCTGATTTTTTTAAAGCTATATTACTATCAGCTAATATACCTTTGGGCTAATAAGGAAATGTGCGATGACTTATTCAATCAGACTGAATTTGCTTAGGCTTTTTGAAGTAGACTTACTCTTTATCATTAAATGCTTTTGCTATTAAATGCTTTTTCTATTAAATGCTTTTACTATTAAACGTCTTTACCATTTTGGGTTTATTGCAAATGGTCTGAAGTAAATCAACCCGATGGAGCAATGAATAATAAATTTTCTAAACAGTCAAAAAGTATGAACCTGCGTGTAATGAGCCTAAACCATCTTAAGATGATTAGAAAGTTATCAAGAATTTTTAAATTAGTCTGACTTGTTGCAAAATGAAAAGGATGGTTCCCATTTTTTAAAGGAAGAAAATTGAATGATAATTAAGATTTAGTGTTTTGATGTTATGGTACTCTATCGAATATTGTCGCAAAGGTTGTATCAAGTAACTGCAACTCTAATATGCTGTAACTAAATTGTACTAATTAATGTATTTTATTTACTATATATTGTTTAAACTAATATTTTTATTCGAACAATGATAATATAATGACCTTTTATTTTGTTAAAGTGTATTTTTTTAAATATGTTAAAAGAAGTTTTACGTATTTCAGCATTACTAATTCCCATTTATCTCAATAATTAGTAAAATTTTATTTCATCTCATCAGTCGACAATTAGTTATCAGTAGAACGTATATGATGCGATTTTAAACTATGTAAAGTATAATAATCACATTTTAAATAAATGTGAGGGTTAAAAAAAATTATATTTTGAAGCTAAAAATAAAGAAAATTTAAATTTACAATATTAGGTACACTTCATAATGATATGAGTATTGAACGAAAAAAAAAAGAAAAAAGAACTAAGTGACACATTTTTTGAGTAAAAAAATTAAATATCTTATTTAATACAAAAATAATTTTTATTGAATTTTAAATGCAGGAAAGTTATTAGTGTTTTCACTAAAATAATTTAAAGAATTAAATTCTTTGAAATTTGGTAAAAAAAAAATAATTAAAAAATATTTTCTATAAACTCTGAAATCCAACAGATAAAAAAATTGCTAAGTTTCGGAAATATTTAATGACTAAAATTATGTAAATTTCAAACAAAGTAAAAGACTTTGCATTTTAAAAATATAAATTAAGCAAATGTAAGTGAAGGAAATTAATGTGAACTTCTCTTAAATTTTTTTTTCAACTTGTAAAATAAATAAATAAATAAATTAATTAATAAAAATAAATAAATTAAAAAGGTATAATGTAAAATTAATGAAATTAAATAAAATAAATTATTGAATAAAAAATAATGTTATGTGAAATAAATAAAATAAAATAAAGTAAATTAAACTAAATTAAATAAAATTAAATTAAATAAATAGATAATTAAATAAATTAAGTAAAATTAATCAGAGAAACTAAAATGAAACAGAGAAAAAATAAAATGAAATGAATAAAATGAGATTTTACAAAAGAAACTTTAACGGAAATGTGTCGAACATAATTTCTAAAAATTAACATTAACTTTTAAAACGAAACGTTTCGTGAAATACAGAATAACAATAAATGATTTTATTAATCTAATCTAAACTTTTACGCGAATAAATAAAAATATAATAAATTTCCCAATATATATATTTTTTAAAAAAAAAGTTCCTAGTCTTATTTTTTTTTCTTTCGATAAGGCCTAGTGTGTGTTCTAGGCGCGGAAAGGAATAATAGGCTGGTTCTGTAAAGGAGCGCAAAGTGTGGTAAGAGAACAAAACAACAGGAAGTTCAAAAAGTGGCGGAATTCAGTATCCCTATGATCCACGGCACCCAGACTTGGGGATATATATATTACTTTTAATGATCCCCAACCCCACGTGATGCTCTCCATCCAATGGAAAATGTTGGAGGGCGCCTCTGAATTCTACCGCTGTGCGCGGCTCCTTCATCTCCCATATTTAGATGGCGAGCACGGTTTGAAGAGGAGCTCACAAAACTCGCCTCAGGCTAGATAACACCCGGCGAATCGATGTCAAGAACAACTTCTCACTGCCGGTACTCTTACTCTACTTGTTGAACCAACTCCTCATTCAGTGCTTTACATTTAATCAGATTTGAAACAATAATTTCTGATTTAATTATCCGATTTTAATACAAATGGACAATTGAACTCTTATTGAGTTTTTTTTCTTCTTCTTCTGTGGTGCTACTTGTAAATAACATATATATTTTTTATTGGTGAATGTGTCCTTAAAATGTCGTATCAATGCTTGCTCTTCTACAGGCAGAGCCTTCAACTATGATGAATGGTAGTTTGTACGAGGAAACTTCCAACAGCCGTTCCAGCGTCGAAGTTGTTCAATCAGCGAACACCGGTCCTCTTCACATTCCAGCGAAGCGTGTTCAAGCTACCAGTCTGGCGGTATCAGCGTACGGTCACTCCGATTGCGGAGGTGTGGTGGAAGGAGCAGGAGGTGCCCTGGGGGGCGCAGGTACGGCGGGTGGGGTCATACGCCACAGTCACCATCATCCCGCCACCCAACCTTGGGGTGCTTACGAGAATCATTCGGCGTTCGACAGTCACCCGTCACAGTACAACCAGTCTTCTCTGTGCAGAGAAAGCATGACTCCCAGCTACTACTACAACGATCATCATGCGAGGGCAGATCGAAAGCCCCCCATAAAGTTCTGGTCAAACACTTATGACCTACCCAGTGCTGGGCCCAGCACTGTTGCAACTACGGACACTTGCCAAACTTTTGCTCCTCAGTCCTGGTGTAATTATGCACCTTATTCTGGGAGGCATATGGATCATCACGGGGCCCAATCAGTCACCTACCTCTCGACGGAAGACCGGGCACGGGCCCCTATGGATGGCTTTACACATACGGATAGCTACACCCTGAGGACTTTTGCTGCCGCAGAAAACCATCCACAACCTACCTATGTCCCAGCAGGTACGGGTATATACTTTATCTGCATGAAAATAGATTTTAAGTTTTATCGGGCAATTAAATCAAAAGTTATCAGTTAAAAGTTATAAAAATTTTAATACACTGATTGTTTTGAATCAGAGTTAGCTTATTCTTTATATATAATTTTTACTGTAGTGAATATCTCACGTAAAAGTTTTTCAACAGCTCCTTATATGTGATAGGTAAAAAAATATAATAAATAGTTTAATAGAAAATAATGAAATCCTCACTTCTAATATGTTATATTGTATTTTATTTCACAAATAAACGTTAAACTCATAGGGGGTAATATGGAAACAAAAAATTTAATTTAATCTTATCATCACATTTTCTTAAGGAATTAATTTCTGCGAGACATGCCTATAAAACATTTAAACCTCAGTATTGAGCAGCAGTTTCACTTTTTACCCAGAGCTATCTAAATTACTATAATTTTTGTAGATGAATGAATATTTATGCAAATTTAGTTATTAAATTCTATGTATTGTCTTACCCATATTTAAAAAAAAACTTATTTATTTTGTTTCATAAAATAGATATTATTTTTAAAAAAAATACCTAAATTATTTAAAAAAATACTTGTTTTTTTTATAAACATATCGATAATTGACTTTCTTCTGTAAATATGTTTTCGTTATAACAATATTTTTAAATATACTGAAAAAGTTTTTAAGTAAAATGTAAATTTCATCAGGGCATAATAGAATTTAATCATGAAACTCTTCAGGAAGTATTTAGTAATACGCATTATACTGCCAACATGTATTTTTCAAAGTAAATCCAGTTCTTCTGCTGTTAAACATAAATTTTAACAAGTCTTTCTTTGATGTTTCTAACGAGTGCAAATTCCTTAGTAAACAGACTTTGTAGCTTTATTATTATTTAAAAGCTCATGCATGCGGTAAATTAGACTGTTACTTTATCACGGTTATATCCAAAATAAAATTTAATTTTTAAAAGTTCGTGAAAGTGTAATAAAATAAAAAAGTTTAAAAAAATGAAAATATAAATAAACTAAAACAATCTCTAATGAAATTTAAGACTATCATTTATTTATTATATGTTCTTGAAAAACTGCAATTTTTCTAAGTTTAGTTTTAAGCATAATTTTATTATTTATTATTAATATATATTATCAATATGTATACAATAAATATTATTATTAATATGAAATATTCAAGAAGAATTCTATATGGTGTGGAAAATTTTAAGTGAATTTTTTAAAAACAGTATTATTTTCCTTATTAAATATTTCATTTTTATTAAAAAAAAAATGTTTGTATTGTTTTAAATTCTAAGTGCGTGTTTAAAATTTTTTTCATTTTTTTAATGACAAACCCTTCAAAATAAAATGAATTCTTTCATTAATGAAATATATGTTTGATAAACATTTTTTATGCTTTTATATACAATTAATTAATTTGTGAAAACAAGGATATAATTTTTATCACTGTTTTATTGACTAATAAAACGTAACTATCAATAAACTATTTTTTTTTAAAATTTTTTTTTACTTTCAAATAAAAATTTTGTAGCATCATTTCATAAATCGCATGCTTAAAAAATTTTATTTGAAGAAAAACGTGTTAAGCTTTACTGACTTCATATTTTAGCAATTTAAGGTGATGATGAAAAATGTTTGTCATTTTATGCAGCTTTAACGCATTGTTGTATATAAAAGTTTTACGGTCTCTTAATAGTAGTTGAAGACCGTTGAAAAGTCCGAGAAGGGGTTCATAAGGGAGATTTTATTACTTTTTCCGTTCGTAAAAGGGGAGCTAACAAAAAACCGTACAAAATGTTTTTAACTGGTTTACGCTGCTCCATGACTAATTACGGACATTATTTTAATTAAATTGCGAGCTTTGATTATTTTTTGAGATATTTAACTAATTCAAGATACGTTTATAAAAAGATTAGTTTAAATTATTATTTATGTTGATTAGTATTTTATGCTGTTTGAAATCTTTAATAAAAATTAAAAATCTTTCAAATTAATTTAGTTTCCCTTCAATAACTTTGTTAAAAATATTTTAAATTAAAATTTCATAATTTTAATCAGCTTTTGATAAGATTTTGAAAAGATGCACTTAAAATACATCCATCTTATTTTAATTTGAATATTGTTGCAAATTTTATTTTCATTTTATATTGATTGGTTTGACATTATTCAAAATTATAATTATTTTAGATTTTACAATTATATATACATGTGCACTAATCATACAATTTTAAGTGCATTTGTAACTGTTTATGTTTTTGTTCTGAGTATTTTAAAAAAAATATTTTTAGAATATTTAGTGGATATTTATGATGTAAAAATTAGACTTCTTAATAAAAGGGTGCTCTTTCTGCTACAATTAAGCAAAAATGAATGAAAATTGCTAACGCTACTTGGTCTTTAAAAAAAAAAATTGTATTTTCCTTAAAATCATCAGGTAAACTCTTCTTTGCATATTTTTATGTCTGTATAAAATTATAATATTAACTTTACATTCCCCCCCCCAGTATACAACTTTTCAGCAGTATTTCATTTTTTAAGATTGAAATCAAGTGTCAAACTTAATAAAATGAACATTTATTAACAAATTAACAGTTTTTTTTAATCATGCCTTGTATGTGAAAGTTAAGTTTTGTTCAACAACTGATCCCCAACCCCACGTGATGCTCTNNNNTACGTATTAGCGTTTTATATAATATATATATATATATATATATATGTGTGTGTGTATATGTATATATACACATATACACATATATATGTATATATAGCTAAATTAAAAAAAAGCTGAGCTTAATAACATAATTAGTTTGCTAACGAATGTTAATTTTATTGAGTTTTACGCGTGATTTCAGTTTGATTTCAAATACTGTTAAAAAATTGTATCTTGTGGCAAAAAAAAAGTAAGGTATGATAATGTAAAGCATGTAAATGTAATATTAATTATATTTTAAGCATTTTAAATCGATAAATAATGATTTTAAATTCTCAGAAATAGAAAAAAAATAGTGTTTTTTTTATACAAAAAAATAAAATCAAATTTAATTTTTCTTTCATTGAATGCATTAGCAATTGCCGCAAATAGTTTACAATCTCACAAACTACGAGCAATGTAACGGCTGATGCCATCTCAGATAAGAGAATTTTATGGCCCTATTCGTCTGCGGAATTGTGGCGCAACTGCCCGATAACCATGCCACGTGGTTTTTCGTATAATCGTCAAAACTTTGGCACAAAAATTAAATTTTCATCCAAAGGATACAGGTGGTGCTGTTATATTTCAGAAACAAAGCCAGATACTTTTATTACGTAATTTCACAGGTGCGCTATCGTTAGATAACTAGAGCTTTCTCTAAGTCTTTTTAATAGGCGTTATTTTTTGCTTCGTTGCTTAAAAGCCACATATATTTCAATCAATAAAATTAAATGTTGCTGTAAAATAATTATTTTATTATTATGAGAACTATTTATTAAAAGAAATCTGCAATTAATCAGAATAAGGGCCTTTTTTCAGTTAATTTAAAATCTGTCAATCAAATTAAAGTTGAAAGACTAGTTTAATGCAAATTATTTTATTTTGGGTGCATTACTTATTTAAACAAAAGAAACTTAATAAACAATAACGTTCAAAATCTAAATGAATTTTTTAATGATTAAAGATTTAATGATGAAGAAATTTAAATGACTGAAGAACCGAATTAAACATTATTGTTAACTAAATAAAAAATAAAGTATTTCTTTTTATGCTAGAAACATTATTTAGGTTAATAATACATTTGAGTGCATTATGCTTCAGTGTTACTCAAACAAATTTGAGTTTCTAATCTTTTAGTATTTTCAAATTAGATTAGCTCTTCCTTTTTTTTAAAAATCAAAATGTGCATTTTAATAATTAATTACTTTTAAAGAATAATACTTCGAAAAAAATTATAAGTTTTTCATGATTTAATGATTCAATGTATAAATGATTAAGATAATGCGAAAGTAACATTTTAAATTTTAATGATCACGATTTTTAAAGAATATATGATTTTTTACAAATTTATTACAATTCTTATAGAAACTTCATGAAAGGATGATAAGAATTTGCTATAGAGGGAAAAAGGAATTATTTTATAAATACTCCATTATTTTAGTAAATTTTAATTGTTCTTTTATTTTAGTTTTTATACAGTGATTCATAAAAGGTTCAGATTGGATGATTTTTTTCTGATGATTGGATTTTGCATTTGTGCAAACTCAATTATCTAAAGGATTGATGACGAATATTCATGTTGATTAGTATTGATTATTAATTAAATAGTGATATGAATTACAAAAATGAAGCTTTTCTGAATAAACATGTCTTTTTATCGTCATTTTTAGATTTATGACCATCAAAATTTGGGGAATAACCGTATTCTGAAAAATATAATTGGGATGGGGAATTACAAGTTTTGTCTCCTTAATGTTAAGAATTTTTTCAGCATATTAACATATCACAAAATGTTTTTCAACGAATCGAAAACTTTACCATACAGTTATAAAACTTGTTTATAGAATATTAATTTCATGCAAAAAGAAATATTTTTTGATAGTTATTTATTATTTTTTCACCTTTTAATTAATTACTGTCAAATTTTAAATAAAATTTTTGTTTCATAATTTTGAATTATGTGAAATTAAATGGCAGAATACAAAATCTGAAAGAATCCAGTCATATAACAAAAGTTATTTAAAGGGATATCTTGCATAATATGGTTACACAATTTCCTTTAAATCAATAACTGATATTAATTTCTTTCTCATAAATTAATAAATTTTTCTTAAGTGAACTGCTTTTAGGGAAAAATTAATAATATTATTTGAAAGTATAAAAGAAGAGTGGTGAAAAAATTCCGAAATACGTATTAATAAACTATAAGATCAGTTATTTTAAGCTGAATAAAGAGAATAAAAATACTTTTAATGTCTCCTTTTGACTTGAGAACGTTAAATGATG